AGAAGGGGCTGCACCGAGATGCAGCAGTGATGGTGGGGCATTGATGGCTCTGCCGACCTGAGGTCTCGGCATCACGGCCAGAAACACGCACCAAAAACAAAAGATAGAGCTGTAAGGGTCAGCAAAAATAAAAAGAAAGCAAGGGCAAGCAACAGCTAGTAGTAGTGTGCAGCGCATTCGTAGCAATGGGAGTTGTTGACGGGGCACAAGAATGTAGGTGGGTCGACAGGCAGAATGTCCGTGGACCATCGCCAATCCTGTCGGCGGAGGTATTCGTTGACGTTGCACTTAAACTTTTGAAGATTTTTGCGAGTTGGGGCGGAGTCTCGAAAAGCTGGCGGCAGGGAATTCCACAGCTGGATTGCACAATATGGGAAGTTGCGGAGAATGGTGTCTGGTGCTTGACGCGGTAGGGGATTTTGTAGCTGGTAACTGTGGCCGGCGGCCATGCGGAGATCGTTTCGAGTGCGAGTGGCGTCACGGGGCTCAAGCATTGGTGGGAGGACTGCTAGCAATTGAGTCGGACCGGTGATGAAATGCAGTTTGTAAGTGTATGTTAATGCAGCAACGTATCGCCGTAGGCTGAGGCTTTGGAGCTCCGTCCCGGGACCAATGATGCGCAATGCACGGCGTTGGATGCTATCTAGGCGTGCAAGATGGGAGGGAGCAGCTCCCATCCAGACGAGCGGAGCATACTCCAAAACGGGCCGTACAAACCCCTTGTACACCGTGAGGCGGCCTTCTCGGGAGAGATAGGGCGCAGCTCGCCGCAGGAGGCCCAAACGCTGTTTGCCACGTATAGACACTGCGCGGATGTGCTCCGCGAAGGACAGCTTCGGATCAAAAGTCACCCCCAAGAGCTTTATTGTGGATAACTCTGGCACAGGGTTGCCTCCAAAGAGTAGAGAGGGCAAGGCTAGCTGCGCTCTTTGCAGCGTGACTGTCATAGCCTGGGATTTCGACGGCTCAAACGCTACACGCCATTCCTTGCCCCAGTCTGACCGACGATTGACGGTGTCCTGAAGCAAGGCAGCAGCAGTGGGGAGGTCGTTACGAAGAAGAGTGTACAATGTTGTATCGTCAGCATAGGCTTCAAGCTGCGTGTTCCCAGCAAGGCATGTTGATACGTCGTTAATGTATATGAGAAACATGGTTGGCCCCAAGATGCTGCCTTGTGGGACTCCCGCCTTGATGGGGTATGGACGGGAGGTTGCACCACCGACAACACACTGTATGCTTCGGTTAGACAGGTACGATGTCAGCCATGCAAGGAGGATTCCTTGGATGCCACATTGCTGAAGCTTGAAGAGGACACCAGCGTGAGAGACCTTGTCGAAGGCTCCAGCGATGTCAACTGCAAGTACACGTGCTGCGCCCCCGCGTCCGATAGAGGATGCCCAGGAGTGGTGTAGCGCAGTAAGAGCGTCGGCTGTACCCAGATTCCGTCTGAAGCCAAACTGATTCGCTGCAAGCAGTGAGTTACCCTCGAGGTAGTTCGCAATTTGCATGTTGATAATGGTCTCCATTACCTTGGATATCACACTAAGGAGAGACACGGGGCGGTAGTTCTTGAGCTGTGAGGGAGATGAGCGTTTATGCACAGGAACAACATTGGCGAGCTTCCAGGCCTGAGGTTGGTATCCATGCCGGAAGCACAATGAGAAAAGCTTGGTCAGGACCGGTGCGAGCACCGAAGCGCATTCTTTCAGCACACGGGGGGAGATGCTGTCCGGCCCTGTGGCTTTCGACGCGTCGAGACGGCGCAGGAGGCAGTGAACATTCTGGATGCTGAAGTGGACGTGGGTGAGTGGTGGATGTGGGTGAGCAGGCGCTGGGGTTCCAAGGGAGGCACGATGTAGGTCCCTGTCACCCAGGCTGCACTTGCCGGCATCCTCCTTCGTATATCTTGGCAGCCTCGTTGACCCTGACTCTCGTGTTGGCCTTGAGGTTGATCGTAGTCTTGCCAGTGCATCTTGTGCATTTGGAGCACTCCGTTGTGTGTTTAACACTCCCGGCCTGTCCATCCGCACAAAGAAAATGCCGTACGAAACTTGCGTTCTGACTGTTTTGCTGTATGGTGCTGAGTGTTGGCCGGTTCTTTGTCATGATGAGATCCGTATTGACACCTTTCATCATCAATGTCTACGGTGTATCCTGGGAGTCTCGCGCTGGGATCAGGAGTTGAATCATGTCCGGAATTGTAACCTCCGTAAGCGTTGAGGGGATGAGGATCTGGTGTCGGACACTATGCGCCGTCGCCGCCTCCAGTGGTTGGGCCATGTAGCTCGGATGCCTGACAACCGTCTCCCTAAGCAGTTGCTGTTTGGATGGCTTGACGCTCCCCGACCAGCTCAGGGACCTCGTCTTCCGTGGAAGGACAGAATACAGTCAGACATGAAACTGTGCCAAATTGATGAATGGTTTACTCTGGCCCAGGATCGTCAGCAATGGAGAGATGCATACCGCACTCGTGTGCAGCGTCCTGCCCCGGTACCGCTCTCTTGCTTGGTATGTAAACGGACATTCAAGAGTAAATCTGGACTCGGACGACACAAAATTAATGTTCTGCTGATCGCCAGCTGCCTGTAGCGGAACAGCTGGACGCACGCCAATGCCATGTCTGCCTTCGGTGGTTCCGAAGTGCCGGTGGACACCCGCCCCGGCATCACCCCCCCCCCCCCACACACACACCCCAGCGCATACCAATCACCAGCCATCCGTTTTGCAACCAGCGCTGCGCTACCTGTAATCGCTGTTTTAAATCTGCTCCTGGCTTTCGGCGACACAATTGCAATCGTGGACGACGTCGTGGCGGAGCGGCTTCCTAGTGGCAGTGCTGACTTCTCTCGAACTCTCTCTTCTACTCTCCCCTGTCTCGGGGGCGGCGTGGCCAAGCATTTGGCAGCTGTACACCAGGCCAGGTGTGTGTGTGTGTGTGTGTGTGTGTGTGTGTGTGTGTGTGTGTGTGTGTGTGTGTGTGTGGTGTGTGTTTGTGTGTGTTAGCCCTTTCCCAAAGGTGCTCGCCCTTTTTTTCACCCTTTTTGGAAAAGCCTGTTTCTTTCGCCCTTTATTGCGTTTTTTGGTGAATATCGCCCTTTTTGAGCTTTTTTAGCTGAAAAAGTGCCAAAAATCTGTTTGCTCATGCATGCGATCACAGTTTCCGAGTGCTCGATGGGCCTTGGCACGCCGCTTTTTTGGTGGGCAACAAGTTGGTGAAGCTTGTTTCACAATTCTGTAAAAAGTTTTTAAACTTTACTTCCTGTTTTGCCTTTCGTGGACCCATAAATGGAAGAGTGCGTATTCATTTCTCAGCTTGGGTTCATATCTGAACATAATTATATTGTGGCTATGTTTCACTGAAAAAGTGCTCTTTTTCATGTTTCAGCATATTTTGAGGGACGCGAAAAGCACTAAGTGCGAATTAAAAGAGCATCTTGGGGAAAGGGCTAGTGTGTGTGTGTGTGTGTGTGTGTGTGTGTGTGTGTCACTGTGTGCGCGCGCGTGCGTGTGGTGTGTGTTTGTGTGTGTGTGTGTGTGTGTGTGTGTGTGTGTGTGTGTGTGTGTGTGTGTGTGTGTGTGTGTGTGTGTGTGTGTGTGTGTGTGTGTGTGTGTGTGTGTGTGTGTGTGTGTGTGTGTGTGGAGATAGCTGGAATAATCACACGACCAACGCCCAACTGTTGGAGATGTGGGGTGACTCTGATACCATCTGCGTGAAGGTCGCACAGCGTCGCCTAGAGTGGCTGGGCCATGTTGCCCGAATGGACAGTAGCCGAATGCCGAGACAGATCCTGTTTGGCTCACTTCTCACACGTCGTCCAGCACATGGCCCTCGCAAGCGCTGGAAGGATTGCGTTCTCTCCGACCTAAGAGTTCATGGCCTCACCAAGGAATGGTACCCTATCGCCTGTGAGTCCCGCACTGACTGGCGGACTATGTACGCCGAGCCTGTGGAGAATGTGCCTCAGCCTGACCCAGTGGTATGTGCGGATTGCAATCGGTCATTCTCGCGCCCTGGAGATCGTGCTCGCCACAAATGTGTGGTTGAGCGGGCAAAGCCAATTGCTGAGCAGCGAGGGGCTTGCCACTGTGGAGATTGTGGGCGTTGGTTTCGCAGCAAGGGTGGTCTAGCTGTTCACCGCTGTTCCGCACCTCAGCCTCCCGAGCCCCGGCAAGTCCATGTGCAGGATGCCTGCTGTGCTGCGCACTGTGCTGTGTGTGCCCGCTGCTTTCGGTCTGTGCAAGGCCGCGGTCGTCACCGGTGCTCCAGGACTGGCCCGCGCCCGACTGCCCAGCAGCGTAATTCGTTCAGCCATGTATGCGTGTGTTCTCGCCGGTTCCGTTTGCCCCACCATCTCCGGCGTCATCAGGCTGCGTGCTCCATCTTCCTCTCTGATGCCCCTCCGGGGCCCACGTGACCCTGTGGCAGTGGCTCTACAGGACAGGACAGGTGTGTGTGTGTGTGTGTGTGTGTCCCATATGGTGCAGGGGTATGTGCAGCGATTTCCAATCGATTTTCCCGACGATTATGGTCACACACGTCTTTCTTCTCTTTCTCAGACTCCTCCTGACTTTTCTTTCATTCTCCTGGGTGGTTACCAACAGCCAGTGCATGCCGGAGTATGTGGTGCAGTGCTGCCAAACAATTTTCGCCCAAAATCGGACACCCTTCACCCCCAAGGCGGGCCACATGGTGCGAATTTTTCCCCTCGGCAGAGAATTCAATATATCGTCTAAAACACCATGAAAATTCGCTTCGTTGCCATGGTAACCCCAGAGTTGTCATGAATTTTGTAATGATGAGTGTGGTCGCACACTGACTCTGGACACACTGTCAGCGTACATGCCATCCAGCCTGATCCAGGCATGTTACTTTGCACTTCCACAGCCAAGCGCTAGCCTTTTTAGAAGCAAATGTACAGTGATTTGTGCCTTCAGACGTAGTTCAGTTGCGCTGAAAAGTGAAAGTACAGCCTACAGGACTTCTGCAAAGGAAAGTAATGATCTCCGACATTTTGGCTGCTTTTGGCTGCTTTTCAGACGTTTCCCTTTTCGGACCGGTTTTCGGAAGAGCCTTCAAAAATCGGACAGTGTCCGAAAAATCGGACACTTTTCGGACGGTTTGGCAGCACTGGTGGTGTAATGTGTGTGTGGAAAAAATGAAAAAAGACCAAAAAGTAGGGATTCACTGACCAGAAAAAGCCAATTCATAGCTGTGTGGTGAAGACCAGGCTGAATAGTGGCGGTCCATTCTTCAGCCTTGCAAGCTGATGAATGGTGCAATCCCAGCGCAAGCTGCTATGGCTTCTGCTGTAGCATCGCTATCATCGCCTTGCAGGGGCGTGCTCGGCCCCCCAACTAGGGGGGTGCACGGGAGACGAGGGGAGCCCCCTGGCAATTTTCTGTAATTTGTTTGCAACCTTTCTTGAATTTTAGAGCATATTTGCATACATTACAATTGCAATTACCCAGATTGAAAATTTTTGGGGGGTGCACGTGCCCCCCGTGCCCATCGCCGAGCACGCGCCTGCCGCCTCCAGCGATGTGCGTCCAATGGTCCAATGGTGTGTGTGTGCATCACCGTGTACGTATGTGTTTCAGCAAGAGGGAGAGAGAGATGGATAGAAAGATGGAGAGAGAGACAGAGAGACAGAGAGAGAGAGAGACAGAGAGAGACATGCAGACACATACAAGACCCCCATGGGAATGCACACACACACATACATACACATACCTGGTCCTGGTCCTGGTAAACACTGCCATTACGGTCACTTGTCCCCTTGCGGGGCCGACAACATGGAAACGACGAGCGACGGCAGAAAGTCGGCAGTCCGCCGAGAGATCAGGGATCATGTTCAATCGGCACGACGAGAGAGCCATCTTTGGCAGCTATGGATTTGGAATCCACGAGTAGAGCGGCAGCACCGACCACAGACCCCACAGTGGGCCTTGAAGCATGAGAGGGCGAGCCGCACACGCGGCGGCGGAGGAGTCGCCTGAGCGGCAATGGTAGACAACGCCGCCCAGCATGGAGCCTGAGATGAAGTCGCGGGGAGCGTCCGGGAGTTGGGGCACTTGTGGACCGCCAAACCTCCGGCCCTGCGGAACCAGCGCTTGCGGGAAGAACAATGTCGGCTACCTCTCTGTTCCGATACAGGACCTGTTCATACATTCACACACACACGCGCGCGCGCGCGCGTGCACACACACACACACACACACACAAACACACACATACACACACACACCATTGGACCATTGGACCATTGGACGCCCATCACCGGAGGCGATGATAGCGATGCTACAGCAGAAGCCATAGCAGCTTGTGCTGGGATTGCACCATTCGACAACTTGCAAGGCTGAAGAATTGACCGCCACTATTCAGCCTGGTCTACACCACACAGCTATGAAGTGGCTTTTTCTGGACAGTGAATCCCTACTTTTTGGTCTTTTTTCATTTTTTCCACACACACACACACACACATCACACCACATACTCCGGCATGCACTGGCTGTTGGTAACCACCCAGGAGAATGAAAGAAAAGTCAGGAAGAGTCCGAGAAAGTGACGAAAGACGTGTGTGACCATAATCGAACACACACACACACACATACACACACACACACATACACCAGGGACTAATTTACTAAAAATTTGCGTAGCAATAATTGCTACACACCCCGACGTTTGCATAGCAACGCAACAATTTTGCATAGCAGTTTTTTCCGTCGACAATGCCGTGCTGTAATTCCTCAAACCACGAAGCGAGGATGCCTTCTCCCTGTACATCATTCTTGCAAAATATCTTGGTCACAGCTCCACCACTCGACTCTTCGCGAATCCGCACTTGATTATAAGTCACACTTGATTATAAGTCACACTTGATTATAAGTCGCACTTGATTATAAGTCGCATTTGATTATAAGTCGCACTTGATTATAAGTCGCACTTGATTATAAGTCGCATTTGATTATAAGTCACACTTGATTATAAGTCGCACTTGATTATAAGTCGCACTTGATTATAAGTCACACTTGATTATAATTTCAAATTTGGACTTCACGGAGAATTTCAAAGTGTTTAGGAAATTAGAGGCCACATGCCACCTACTGCTCTTTTCTCTCTTGCAATTTGTATTTGCTCGCAGTGGACATAGTTTGATGCGCTCCCCATGATATCAAGCGAATGGCCGAGGGCCCTCTTGATTGGTGTGAGTTGCCAGCATGATGCAAGCCAGATATGAATTGATCGAAGAAGGATAGATTTACCATCACTGTGGATAAGAGTCATACTGTAGCTCAGTTGGTTAGAGCATTGCTCGCGAATAGCAAGGTCCCTGGTTCGAGTCCCGGTGGTGTGACTGATGATTTTTTCTTTCTTTCATATCTGGCTTCCAAGTGTTGAGTTTCGGAGAGAAAAGAGCAGTAGGTTGCATGTGGCCTCTAATTTCCTAAACACTTGATTATAAGTCGCACTTGATTATAAGTCGCACTTGATTATAAGTCGCACTTGATTATAAGTCGCACTTGATTATAAGTCACACTTGATTATAAGTCACACTTGATTATAAGTCACACTTGATTATAAGTCACACTTGGATTATAAGTCACACTTGATTATAAGTCGCACTTGATTATAAGTCGCACTTGATTATAAGTCGCACTTGATTATAAGTCGTACTTGATTATAAGTCACACTTGATTATAAGTCACACTTGATTATAAGTCACACTTGATTATAAGTCGTACTTGATTATAAGTCACACTTGATTATAAGTCGCACTTGATTATAAGTCACACTTGATTATAAGTCACACTTGATTATAAGTCACACTTGATTATAAGTCACACTTGATTATAAGTCACACTTGATTATAAGTCACACTTGATTATAAGTCGCACTTGATTATAAGTCGCACTTGATTATAAGGCACACTTGATTATAAGTCGCACTTGATTATAAGTCGCATTTGATTATAAGTCGCACTTGATTATAAGTTGCACTTGATTATAAGTCGCACTTGATTATATGTCGCACTTGATTATAAGTCGCACTTGATTATAAGTCGCACTTGATTATAAGTCACACTTGATTATAAGTCACACTTGATTATAAGTCACACTTGATCATAAGTCACACTTGATCATAAGTCGCACTTGATTATAAGTCGCACTTGATTATATGTCGCACTTGATCATAAGTCGCACTTGATTATAAGTCACACTTGATTATAAGTCGCACTTGATTATAAGTTGCACTTGATTGTATGTCGCACTTGATTGTATGTCGCACTTGATTATAAGTCACACTTGATTATAAGTCACACTTGATTATAAGTCACACTTGATTATAAGTCACACTTGATAAGTCACACTTGATAAGTCGCACTTGATTATAAGTCGCACTTGATTATAAGTCACACTTGATCATAAGTCACACTTGATCATAAGTCACACTTGATTATAAGTCACACTTGATTATAAGTCGCACTTGATTATAAGTCGCACTTGATTATGTCGCACTTGATTATAAGTCGCACTTGATTGTATGTCGCACTTGATTGTATGTCGCACTTGATTATATGTCGCACTTGATTATAAGTCACACTTGATTATAAGTCACACTTGATTATAAGTCACACTTGATTATAAGTCACACTTGATTATAAGTCACACTTGATTATAAGTCACACTTGATAAGTCGCACTTGATTATAAGTCGCACTTGATTATAAGTCACACTTGATTATAAGTCACACTTGATGATAAGTCGCACTTGATTATAAGTCGCACTTGATTATGTCGCACTTGATTATAAGTCGCACTTGATTATAAGTTGCACTTGATTGTATGTCGCACTTGATTGTATGTCGCACTTGATTATAAGTCACACTTGATTATAAGTCGCACTTGATTATAAGTCACACTTGATTATAAGTCACACTTGATTATAAGTCACACTTGATTATAAGTCACACTTGATTATAAGTCACACTTGATTATAAGTCACACTTGATAAGTCGCACTTGATTATAAGTCGCACTTGATTATAAGTCGCACTTGATTATAAGTCACACTTGATTATAAGTCGCACTTGATTATAAGTCGCACTTGATGTTAAGTCACACTTGATTATAAGTCACACTTGATTATAAGTTGCAACCCAGTTTTAGGTCTGAAACAAAATTAATTTTATCAATACATTCATATGAGTATGAATTCACACTGGATTGTAAGTCGCACCGCCTTCTTTGTTTTTCAAGTATAGTGTTAAAAGGTGCGACTTGCATTCGGGGGAAATATGGTACTTCAAAAGTACGTGTGAAACCACGCGTTTGTGCGATTTTTTGCTGGCTTTGGGGTGTCATGCGTATGGAAACGCGGCGAAATGGAAGTTCCAACATGTTGGAAATTTCAGCGCGTATCAGGCGCGTACCGGCGTACATGCCACCTGACCGGCGGCGTCAAACAATTAGTACTCGAAGGCGTCGCATGTGCTAAATGCGACTCGGATCGCTGGTTTTTTTGTGAAAGCCTGAGCACCGGTTTTGACACGCTTGAACCGAAAGCGTGCCACGTCCACGTGCCAGTTGTGAACACAGCTTAAGACCCCCCCCCCCCCCCCCACGCACACATGCCCTGCACACGTTGACACCCACACACTAACACCAACACAAAGACATTTACATGCAGTGCTGCCAAACCGTTCGATTTTTCGGACAGTGTCCGATTTTTGAAGGCTCTTCCGAAAACCGGTCCGAAAAGGGAAACGTCCGAAAAGCAACCAAAATGGCGGAGATCATTACTTTCATATGCAGAAGTCCTGTACTTTCACTTTTCAGCGCAACTGAAGGCACAAATCACTGTACATTTGCTTCAAAAAAGGCCAGCGTTTGGCTGTGGAAGTGCAAAGTAACATGCCTGGATCAGGCTGGATGGCATGTACACTGACAGTCTGTACATGCATGTAGTCGGTGTGCGACCACACTCATCATTACAAAATTCATGACAACTCTGGGGTGACCATGGCAACGAAGTGAATTTTCATGGTGTTTTAGGCGATATTTTGAATTCCCTGTAAAAAATTTACCGAGGAGAAAAATTCGCACCATGTGGCCAGCTTTGGCGGTGAAGGGTGTCCGATTTTGGGGGAAAATTATTTGGCAGCAGTGTGTAACATGTACAGACTACTCACACATTATAAATAAACTTCAACAATAGCATCACACACCTTGACCTTGACCTTGACCTTGACCTTGACCTTGACCTTGACCTTGACCTTGACCTTGACCTTGACCTTGACCTTGACCTTGACCTTGACCTTGATCTTCCCCATTAGGCAGCTCGCCGAAGAGCAATTTTTTCGGTGCTCGCGAGTCAGCCATCCTGCCGACATGACCTAGACATCACACACACACACACACACACACACACACACACACACACACACACACACACACACACACACACACACACACACACACACACACACACACACACACACACACACACACACACACACACACACACACACACACACACACACACACACACACACACACACACACACACACACACACCTGGTCCTGGTCCTGGTAAACACTGCCATTACGGTCACGTGTCCCCTCGCGGGGCCGACAGCATGGAAACGACGCACGACGGCAGAAAGTCGGCAGTCTGCCGAGAGATCAGGGACCATGTTCAATCGGCACGACGAGAGAGCCATCTTCGGCAGCTATGGATTTGGAATCCACGAGTGGAGCGGCAGCACCGTCCACAGGCCCCACAGTGGGCCTTGCAGCATGAGAGGGTGAGCAGCACATGCGGCGGCGGAGGAGTTTGCCTGAGCAGCAATGGTAGACACCGCCGCCCGGCACGGAGCCCGAGACGATGTCGCGGAGAGCATCCGGGAGTTGGGGCACTTGTGGACCGCCAAACCTCCGGCACTGCGGAACCAGCGCTCACAAACACACACACACACACACACACACACACACACCACACACACAACAGGGGCGTGCTCGGCTCCCCTTCCAGGGGGGGGGGGGGGGGGTGCACCACTTCCAGACAACAGCAATTTTCAAAATGTTGTACCGGTGACATCATCAGATATTTGTACATGTGACGTCATTATTACTGTTACAAAGATTGTATGTCATCAAGAATGAACACAGTCCAGCATCTTATGCTGACCTTTCATACAAACTTCCAGTCAACTTGCCCATCATGCTGGCGGTTTATATTGGGCATATAAACCTCATATAAACCTCATACAAACTCCATATAGACCACCACCATACAAACTCCTTTTTAGAGATCGAGAAGAATTATTATCACATTATCTCATGAGTAGAATAACCATGCCTACATGCCAACAGGAAAATCAGCTTTAGAGGAAGCTAGGCGCCTAGCAGCAAGATAATTATTTAGCAGAATGCTTGCGCTTCAGTTTCTTGCGAGCCTCAACAGCACACTCAGCGTGAATATTGAACACAATAGAACTGTGCTTGAAGGTTGTGGAAGCAGCAATCAGATAAGGAGATACGGTAGAAGCAGAGCTCTGAACAGCAGATGAATGGCTCTGAACAGTGACAGCGGGTGTGGATGACTGCAGAGCATGGTTTGATTTATCAGCTACAGGCAATCTCAGATCAATAGCTTCAGCCATAGAGCACGACTCTGTTAGGCTGGGCCTATCATAAGCAGTAAGAGACTGAACATTGCGATGACCAGAAACAGAACAAATTCTCCTATCATTCACACCACATTTTTTCATGTTGGTAATTGATGTTGCTCTAACACAGTGATTCGTATACTGCATTGACAAAAGAGCATCCGAGGACAAGCGCTTCATCATGCCAGATAAGATATTGTGTGAAAGAGGCATTTTCATGAACCAGCAATTGGCAGCAGCAGACATCTCACCTGACAAAGCTCGCTGGAACAAACGATTCTCGTCCGGATGCAGTTTGGATAAGTAGCGCTTGATAGCCGACAGCTGAAACTCATCGCGGATGATGCCAGCACGCAGGATCGGTAAATATGTTGATCTGCCGCGAGAATGACGAGATGTGCCGCTGAATCGCACCACGGGCAGATTGAAGACTGTTTTTCGCAAACCCGGAGCCATCCTTCTTCTTCACATTCGCGTAGAATGACGAGAGGATATCACAAAGCTTTTCGCTCGTGACTGTCTTGAAATCGACGACACCAAACGGCTGGTCTCCACTCAAACAAAACTGATCAAGTATTCGCAACCAGTACTCAGTAGAATAGCGTGTGTTCTTGGGGACACCATGAGCAATTAGCTCCGTTTGCTCATCGTAGGTGACACACCCAAACACTCGTTTTTGGGGAAGCTCGTCACTCATTGCGAAAGAATCTACTAGAAGTAGAAGTAGCAAAACGCAAACTGACCACAACGGTGACAGAAATGGAATGCGTGCTTAGCAGCTATGTTTGCGAGTTTTACTTCTTGTTTTGGTGCGCGCGTCTTCTCCAAGGTCGTCACCCCAGAAAATTCGGATTTGGACCACTTTTAGGACGAAGCTCTGCAGGTCACCACTGCGCAGACTCGAAACTTTCTCATTATTTTCATGATGAGAAAAGCACGGACGAGCCTCAAGTGAGCTCATGAGCTCATATTTGCAATGGTCGTTTTCTGCAGTTGCGAACTGAAACAGGAAGCAGTTGACTGTCAGTTTGTATGAAGGTCAGCATAAGTATAATACGTCCCACTAGTACGCTTGTACGTGAAATATAAACCGACATACAAACCTCGGCTTCGCCTCGGTTTGTATGTCGGTTTATATTTCACGTACAAGCGTACTGTTGGGTTGTATTATATACGTATCAATTTTCACTCACAAAGCGACTGTTCAGTACATGGGGTAGTGGTCTACCAGAGCAATCACACTCACCACCGTGGTGGTTTTCCAGAAAATGAGTAGAAGCAAAAAACCACACTCGCAGCCACATAATAGATAAATAGCCGAAAAATATCTAAATCCATCAAAGAACCGCCAGCAAGCGGGAGAAAAAGCCGTGAAATCCAGTGAACAGCATGGCCGGTGGTGAGCATGGGTGACTGGGCAGCAGGGGAGCGCCTGAAAAACAATGACTCCCTACATTCCTAGCCGCGACCGCTCAACCGGTCTAGAGGAAAAACACGCCTTTCGGCCAAAAAACCTTTCTATTTCATTAATTCCTGCCCCGCTGCCAGTCGGACCCAAGAAAAGATATAGCAAGAAATGGTATGTAATAACCGGTGTATATCATAATCATAAGGTATAGATTGTCAAGAAGAACAGCGGACGACTCCCATGAAACCAGGGTGGGTGGGCGGGCAACTTCAACTACCACGAGGAAAAACAAAGACCACGATGGCAGGTTCAACGGAGTTGCGCAGAACAAGAGCAAATGCACGAAAATATTTTGTGAGTGAAAAATACGTTTTTTGCACTCTTTCGCTACGCTCAGCCGTGAAAAAACAAAACTTTTTTCAACATAAAGGATGAAAACTTTACAAATGACACTTGACAGGCTGTACGTACGGAAGTGCCTGGCTGCATGTAGGCCGCCGCGCACCAGGCCCCTAGTAGCCCTACTGCACTACAACTTACTACAAATAACAATGTAGTACAGTAGATATTGGTTATAACGTGCCCTTCTGATTTTTCACATTTTATCACTATAACCGGTATATCACTACAGGCGATTTTCAACTGCGCGCGTCATACATACACATACACGTGTGGGTACTCGATCGCGCTAATGTAGCGTACTGATATGTGATGGATGCTAATGCACCTTCTCCAGTCTAGAGTGAAGAACTTCTTGGCCCAAAGGCATCATCCAGGAAGCACCAGACCAGAATACCCTATGACAACACACACATGTGGCTCCAAGTCGAGACATCAATGCCTAACACTCGTGTGTTGCTATCACTATAGACGATACTTTTTCTGCACAAAGAGGTGTTTTGAATGGTGATTCTGTATCCTTATAGCCGATTTATCGCTATATACGATATATTGGTTATAATGATAATTTGACTGGCTTTTTCTGGTTTTGCTTTTGATATTTTCATTTTGTATCAATATAGCCGGTTTATCACTATGTCCGATGACTTTATAACCGATATCCACTGTACAAAGTACAAGACACAGGTCCAGGATGTGCTCCCGCGAGAAGTCGGGCTTTCCGCAATACATTGGTGACTTTTCAAAACCCCGGTCGAAATATTTTTTGGGGTGCACTTGCCCCTGTGCCCCTCGCCAAGCACGCCCCTGCACAAACACCCACACACACACACACACACACACACACACACCTCAGACCTCAGACCTCAGACGTGCCCATCGCGGAAGCGATGATAGCGAACAGCTATGTTAGACATAGCAACTTGTGCTGGGACACACACACACACACACACACACACACACACACACACACACACACACACACTACTACTACTATAGCATGACTGCCCATTGGGCAATGTCACCCCCGGAGGGGGCCAGAGTTTGGAGTGCACCGTCATTGGCAGGACTTCTGGTGCCTCGTCAAATCTTGCTGTCGTCGGAAACGTTTCGGGCAATGCATGCAGATCAGCGGCAGTGATTCCCTATCGGCTGCAGCAAGACGTTTTCCACGGTTGCAGTTATGGCGGTTAAAACCAGCCCGGGACTTGAAGCAGCGATTGCAGCGTTGACAATGCTGGAAGCAGCAACTAGCGAGAGACGCCGTCAATGCCGTATCTGCATGTTCAGGGAGTGCAGGCTGGCAGCGATGAACTGCAAGCCCACCCTTACTACGGAACCATCGGCAGCAACTGACGCACTGTGCTGAACCACGCTGTTGGTGGACGGGAAGTTGGCGCTCAGCCAAACACTTGTGCCGTGCCTTGTCTTGAGGACGAGAGAAAGCCCGGTTGCAAGATGAGCAGAGTACGGATTTCTCTACTGCCCGAGGAGGCTGAAAAACCAGAACCTGCTCTCGCCAAGCTGACCGGTCTTGTGCGCAATCAAACCAGTTTGGAATGGACTTCGTGTCAGTAGCCACAACGTCTCTCCACCTACGCCTGGGACCGCAGAAGGGGCGCGCAGCCAACAAACGACCAAACAACAGCTGCAATGGGACACGGTCCTCCGACATCCGAGCCACATGACCAAGCCACTCTAAACGACGATGGCGCATCTTAACAGAGAGTGGCACTGGGTCACCCCAGTGACGACGTAACTGCGCAGACGTGATGCGATCGGATTGCTGCTGACTGCGAGGGATGGCTAATATTGTGCGGATGCAGCGATGATGAAAGGCATCCAAACGTCTACTATCAGCTTTCAAGGGCGTCCAGCACTCACTGCCGTACAGCAAAA